CATGGAACTGAAATCTTGAACAATGTTATTGACCATACCTAGTTCTCATTTGTGAACTACAGAACACCTCCCATTGTGTTATGGAATTTAGAAGAGTGGAAGGTGTCTGTAGTAAAAAATCAGGAGAGTAGTCTAGGGTAGCAAGAGTTTTGTTATCCTAGAGTAGGAAGTGTGATACTGAAAGTAAACGAAAAAATGAAAATACATGCTAATATCACATCTAGTTACTGATAAACTGCAATATTTTACATTTACAATAATGGGTTTAGATACAATTTATCTTGGAAGTTGCTAAGTCACAATCACAGGTACAAAGATACCAAAGTCACTATTTGGATGGCTTTCTGCAGACATAGAAATTGCTTTTCTTTTTCTGCATGCTGTGGTTCCTCCTGCCATCCCCTACACCTGGGATTCTCAACCAGCGTTCCGTAGAACCCTAGGGTTCATTCAGAGGTTGTTTGAGGTTCCTTAAGCTGTGGCTTCCATCTTATGGTGCCTTCATGGTTCCAGGTTCTATGCCACTTGGTAGAACCAATGGTATAACACCAATGAACATTTTGACCACCACTGTAAGAACTTAATTCTTCCCACTGACCACCAATGTAAGGGGCATTCTTCCCATTGATGCCTGATAAATTATTTTTTGCATGGGTTCCCTGAGACCTGAAAATTTTTTCAAAGGTTCCTCTGGGGTAAAAAGGTTGAGAAAGGCTGCCCTACACCAATACTCTGTTCTGTACTGACCTAAGGGTTGGAATCACAGAGACCAGGAATCTGTCACCTGCGGAAATGTCATATCAACAAGATTAAGAAGATTTAAGACAACACTAGCCAGAAAGGTTAGTATTTAGGGTTCTTTTGGTCTGAATTTGTACAGCTATGATCAGGAGTATCATACATTTCATAATACAGATGCCGTCAGAGAAAATGCTATAGTTCTGTTTTTAACTGTAGAAATTGTATGATCCAGTTTCTACTTAACATATAATAAATAAAAAGGAAGTGCAGCGCTAGTGAGCAATAGTGAATACAAGTATACATAAAAATAGTGATAAGTCACTGGTGTGATAAATGGATAGTCCCGTGAATACACATAAATAATAGAGGTGACTCTGTTATTCGTGAGGAGGTGGTGTTAAAATGCGCACTCACCGGACGCGCATTTTAAATGCGCATTGGGTATAAGATCCTGCTGTCAGGTGGTGAGCGGTTCCTCCTTTATCGGGTCCTAAATGGGTTATTCTACTCCACTGGGGGTCCCTGTAGAAACCGTCCTTGCTGGTGATCTGGATAATGGATAGCAATCCTTTCTTGGAGTGGGTCTGCGGTGAGCCTGCGGACTAAAGCACTCCCCCAGGGGGCAGCAAGAACACACTCCCATAGTGTAGTAGGTTTTAACCTCAAATTTATTAAAAGTTGATGATACAAAAAAACGTTGCAGACAGTAGTCTGTGAGTAACTGACCAGCTGGTAAGTAAGAGTATCCGCCGGAGCTCCACGTTGCTCCGGCGGGTGTGACGTCACGGCGTGGTGTGGCTCCTCCTGACGCGTATCGTGCTCAAGCACGTCTTCAGAGGGGGGTCGCCAATCACGTCGTGTCGTCCGCCGTTTGTTTAAATACACGAATAAACCGCACATGTGCAGGAGACCGCGGCCATTTTGGGATAGCGCAGAATGAACTGCGCATGCGCGAAGATGACGGGCGCCATTTTTCCTTAGTCCCACGGTATAAGGCAGATTGAATGCCTGTGTGTCCCCAATCAAGGAATATATCAACATCCTTCTGTGGGGGTAAGTGTACATAAATATCTTGAAAAATAATATCCATGTCAGTTAATTCATGGGTTCAAGAAAGGAGGGGAGAGGGAAGAACGGGTCCCATCATCAGCCTCTATTGGCGGTTGTCAGAATAATTCTGTCCAGTTAGAAAAAACAGAGATCACTTGATACCAATAATATATACATAAGTTATACCATTATCACAAGGGGAATGTATCAGCATTCCCCTCACAGTGTACATTAGATACAAATACCGATCTAAATGCGGTCTAAAAAAATTAAAATAAAAAAATATAAAAAATATAAAAAATATGAAAAGAATTGAAAATAGTCTCTGTTTACAAACGATATATACATATTCTATATTTTATTAGAAAAATTTATTGTATATATCCCATTCCCATGGATTTGAGGTCAGTGCACGTGTGCAGATATTCCAAATAACATAATAAAATATATATAATCAAATAGAGTTAAAAATTAAATTAAAATTAAAATCAATCCTATCTGTGCATATCTCTCGTGGTACGAGATGATAAACTCCTTCCATACAGTCCAGGAGACAGAACGTATAAAATATCCATATATACCGAATATGCTAATCTAAAAATTATAAAAGAATTCATCATGATGATATCAGATGGGTGGTACTCAATTATTTTCAATGAAACAATTGATATCGACCTCAATATTGAGGCCATTAGGTTTTAAAGAGCGAAGCTCATAGATCCATTTCATTTCTAATTGAGAGACTGCACGTCTCTTGTGTATTCCTCTCCAGTGGGTTTTAATTGTATCAATACCCGTAAATTTAAGAGAGGTGGGGTCCATATTGTGAAATCTCTTATAGTGATAGGAAACTGAGTGCTCTTTGTATCCCCGTTTGATGTTATTGACATGTTCTCTCAATCTATCTCTGAGCCGGCTGGTGGTGCGACCGATGTACTGAAGCTTGCATGGACATTCTAACAAATAGACCACATATTTGTTGTTACATGTAATGAATTTATCTATATTGTATCTTCTCCCAGTTACTTGTGAAGTAAACGTATTTTGTCTATGTTTCCTGGTGTTATTACATTTGCAGATTATACACTTATTACACGGATGGTATCCCTTAAGATCATTAAACAGAGAGATTTCCTTAGGTGGATCAATAACATTGGGTGCTAAATAATGTCTTAGATTGGTGGCTTTACGAAAATACTATTTCTGGTTTTTCTGGTAGAATTTTGGATAACACTGGGTCTGCCAGTAAGACCTTCCAGTTTTTCTTAATAATATGGTTAATAGCCCCGTATTGTTTGGAGTAGTTGGTAATAAAAGGGCATATTTGACCTTTAATGGCCTTCCCCCTTTTTTATTAGAAGATCTTCTCTATGGAGATGGGCCACAGTGTTTCTACTTAACATATGTTGTCTGTATAATACTATTCATGTGCGCACAGTAGCTCCCAAAAAATATGTCACAATGAGACTTGCATTAGTTTAAGCCCCTAGCAAACCAACCTGCAGTCCAAGGGCCACATGTGGCCCTTTGGTGTTTGAAGTATGGCCCTTGGGCCCCAGCAGTCAACAGAGGGATCATTGATTTGTAAAGGGTCCCTTAATTGTAGTAAAGTCCAGTGGTCTCATACAACATGTCCCTTGTCTCTGATGGTCTCCTGTAGCATGACTTCAGTCTCTAACCAATCTAGTTGTCAGGAATGGACTTGCCAATAGTGGTGGGACTCACCTGCCTTGTGGGCTGCAGTACCAGGGCTGGCCAGCGGGTGCTCTCAACAACCAGAGGTTCACTTCGGCAATTAGCCATCACCTGGGGCTGATTGCAGGTGTATTTAAGGGATGGCCAGACCTGCAGTCTGTGCCTTGGTGTGTGTTTTTCCATGGGCCCCTGTATCTTGTAACCTGCGTTCCTGTTCCTGTTTCTGCCTCTGCCTGACTTGTTGCCGACCCTGCCTGATCCTGACCTCTGCTGACTTCTCCTGTTTTGATCCCTGGCTTGTGACCCTGACCATTTCTCTCCGCCTGCTCCTCCTGTACCTACCTGCCCGATAGTTATCGACCCGGCCTGCCTGATTACGTTGTGCTCTATATGTGTATGTACCTGTGTATCTGTATCAGTTTAGGTTTGGGTTTGTTTCACCTTGTTGTATGTATTTGTGTTAGCTTGGGGTTTGGTGCACTGCGTTTATGTTTGTATTGTTAGTCTTTAATAAATTGTCTTATTTATACCATATCTGAAGCTTGCGTTTCCCTGTGTCAGTCCACACACTTCTGGTCACACCCGCATCCCTGACATTACACCAAGGCCAACCTGACCAGACGTGGCTGCACAGGGAAGCCATCTTGGCTTGTTGTTGCTGGGAAGGATGGATCTTGATGAGGTGGTGTATTTAGATCTGCTAGTGTTTGATGACAAAGACTATGCTTATCAGACTCTTAAGGAGTATACCCGGGATCAACTGCTAGAGTGTATAAGGATCGTCATTGTCTAGTTGATCAGGGCACAGAGTTTTCTGAGGTGCAGCCATTGATCCAGGTTTGTGCTGAGTTGGCTCGGTCCTGTACCCCTGAAAGCAGGGATGACTTTTTTCCCCCATTTAGTGTGGATCAAGTGGAATCACTGGTATGGTTGTTGGAGGATGATCCAGATTGTTTCCATGAGCACTATGCAGCATGTCCATCACATGTGCTTATGGATTGCATAAACGTAGTGCAGTCTTTGATCAGACAGGCTAGGTGTAAGCTGAGTTTTGTTAAACCAGTACTGCAGACATGGACAGATTTGTTACACCCAGCCTCGGTTGGCTTGCAACATCATTCCTCTGCTCAAGGCACACTTCCTGCATCCCCGACAGCACCCCCAGTGATGGCCCAGTATACTCTGCTAACTACCACATACCAGTCCCCTGCTCCCACTCGCTGCACCTATCCTTTCTTCAACCCTGTAAAGAAGTCCTCTGTAGCAACTGCTCCCTCCTCTGTTCCATCCTCCAGCTCTTCTCTGTCTCCAGCTGCTCCATCCGTTTACAAACCTGCGCTTACTTACAGTGCTCCGGTAACTAAAACCAGGAAAAGGCAAAAGTTCTGTCCAACCAATACCATCCTGCCAGTATCCAAACCGGTCAGCCTCCCATCTGAGAACCTGCCTTCCGTGGTGCAGCCTGATGCCTCTACCCAGCATGATGTCTCTATTCAGCCTGATGTCTCTATTCAGCCTGATGTCTCCATTCAGCCTGATGTCTCTACCCAGCATGATATTTCTACCCAGCCTGATGAACTGATCCAGCCTGATGATCCTATTATGCCAGATGACTCGATGCCCGCAGTTCCGCCAGATGACTCGGTGCCTGCTGTCTTGCCAGTTGACTCAGAGCCCGCAGTCTTGCCAGACGACTCGGTGCCCGCAGTCTTGCCAGGTGACTCGATGCCCGCTGTCGGGCTGGTTGACTCAGAGCCCGCAGTCTTGCCAGATGACTCGGAGCCCGCGGTCTTGCCAGATGACTCGGTGCCCGCGGTCTTGCCAGACGATCCAATGCCTGATGACCCAGTGCCCACTGTGATGCCTGGTGACCCGATGCCCGCTGTCGTGCCTGGTGAACCGATGCCCGCTGTTGAGCCAGATGACCTGGTGCCCGCGGTCGAGCAAGACAATCCAATGTCTGATGACCCGGTGCCCGCTGTTGTACCTGGTGACCCGATGCCCGCTGTTGAGCCAGATGGCCTGGTGCCTGCCGCCCTGCCTGGTTGCCCGGTGCCTGTCGCCGTGCCTGGTTGCCCGGTCCCTCCCGCTCTGCCGGGGGCCTGGTGCCTGCTGCTCCGCCTGGCCTGGTGGCCCGGTGCCCGCCGCCCTGCCTGGGGGCCCGGTGCCCGCTGCTCCGCCTGGTGGCCCGGTGCCCGCCGCCCTGCCTGGGGGCCTGGTGCCTGCTGCTCCGCCTGGTGGCCCGGTGCCTGCTGCTCTGCCTGGTGGCCCGGTGCCTGCCGCCCTGCCTGGTGGCCCGGTGCCCGCTGCTCTCCCTGGGGACCCGGTGCCCGCCGCTCCGCCTGGGGGCCCGGTGCCCACCGCCCTGCCTGGTTGCCCGGTGCCTGCCTCCCTGCCTGGTTGCCCAGTGCCCGCCGTTCCGCCTGGGGGCTCGGTGCCTGCTGCTCCGCCTGGTGGCCCGGTGCCCGCCACCCTGCCTGGGGGCCCGGTGCCTGCTGCTCCGCCTGGTGGCCCGGTGCCTGCTGCCCTGCCTGGGGGCCCGGGGCCTGCTGCTCCGCCTGGTGGCCCAGTGCCTGCTGCTCTGCCTGGTGGCCCGGTGCCCGCTGCTCTGCCTGGTGGCCCGGTGCCCGCTGCTCCGCCTGGTGATCCGGCGTCCAGCCTGATGTGCCTCCGTCCGTTGCTCAGCCCGACGTTCTCCGTCTGGTTCCCAGCCCGAAGTGCCTCCGTCCGGTGTCCAGCCCGAAGTGCCTCTGTCCGGTGTCCAGCCCGAAGTGCCTCCATCCGGTGTCCAGCTCGAAGTGCCTCTGTCCGGTGTCCAGCTCGTAGTGCCTCCGTCCGGTGTCCAGCTCGTAGTGCCTCCGTCCGGTGTCCAGCTCGAAGTGCCTCTGTCCGGTGTCCAGCTCAAAGTGCCTCCTTCCGGTGTCCAGCTCGATGTGCCAGTCTTTGATATCCCGCCAGTCACTGGACCCGGGCGGTGGAACATTTTGCCCAGCTAGGACTGTTTGGAGCGTCCTGAGGCCGCTCCTTGAGGGGGGGGGGGGTACTGTCAGGAATGGACTTGCCAATAGTGGTGGGACTCACCTGCCTTGTGGGCTGCAGTACCAGGGCTGGCCAGCGGGTGCTCTCAACAACCAGAGGTTCACTTCGGCAATTAGCCATCACCTGGGGCTGATTGCAGGTGTATTTAAGGGATGGCCAGACCTGCAGTCTGTGCCTTGGTGTGTGTTTTTTCCATGGGCCCCTGTATCTTGTAACCTGCGTTCCTGTTCCTGTTTCTGCCTCTGCCTGACTTGTTGCCGACCCTGCCTGATCCTGACCTCTGCTGACTTCTCCTGTTTTGATCCCTGGCTTGTGACCCTGACCATTCTCTCCGCCTGCTCCTCCTGTACCTACCTGCCCGATAGTTATCGACCCGGCCTGCCTGATTACGTTGTGCTCTATATGTGTATGTACCTGTGTATCTGTATCAGTTTAGGTTTGGGTTTGTTTCACCTTGTTGTATGTATTTGTGTTAGCTTGGGGTTTGGTGCACTGCGTTTATGTTTGTATTGTTAATCTTTAATAAATTGTCTTATTTACACCATATCTGAAGCTTGCATTTCCCTGTGTCAGTCCACACACTTCTGGTCACACCCGCATCCCTGACACTAGTAGAATAATCTCTGACTATTTCCTCTAGTAAGTCTTCAATCTGTGACAGTTTTCTGTAGCATTACATGTAATAAATAATATATGTGTCCCTTTGGAGACATTAGGGGCTGCGTTTGAGGCTCTATTTCCCTTGCAAGTTGACAGCCACTGGTTTAAGCCACCCATTAAGCCACCAAATTCCTTCTATATCTACACCAAAACACACAATTATTTGAACTGCTGCCTCTTTCCAACACTCTAATGTGAAATATAGCAGCTAACCAGTCCTTAGATGTAGTGGCTGTGTTAGTTTTCATTTTTCAGGCTAAAAACATTTTCATCAAATACCAACGGATGCAGTGATGCCTTGTCACTCTACGAGCTTAAAAGAAAGCACAAAGAACAATCTTTATTATGTAACCTTCTAGTCAACTCAGTTCATCATGTAATGGAGATGACTAAAGGCAGACAGTTAAGCTAGTTTGACAACCTCAGCTGCCCTCATAGATACAATGGAAAAATAAGTGTAGACATGAAGGGGACATTAATTGTGTTATTCACAGGTTTACCAGTCCACCAAATCTAAGTATTGATAAGCTGAAATTTATAAAATATTTCCATTGGAGTTTAGACATGCTTCAACAATTAGTTCTGACAGTGGCATGGTATCCCCCTGTTATTCATGCATTATGTATAATCTGTGCTTATTTCCCATCACTTGTAGACACTGCTGGCATTTTCTGTACATGGCTTTCTACCAGTTGACACTGTATTGGTTCATCTTAAATGCTAAACTATATTTGCTTCACTGTACTGTAACCCTTGAAATACATTTCCAATAGAAATGCATTAAAAAAGAGAAGTTCCAATTGTATTTTTATACTTTTAGCTGTCACTGTGTTTTCAGAGCTGAAAGTCTTAGTGTCATTAACATTACCTTTGTAAGAGCAAACTGTGGAATGTTCATTTTGTTAATAGAAAATCTCTTTAAATCAATTAAATACAAATACCCTTTTGTGACAGTAGTTAAAGTGGTTGTCCAGTCTCCTCTGAAAAAAATAAAAGTCAGCAGCTACAAAAACTGTAGCTGCTGACTTTTAAAAAACAGCCACTTACCTGTCCCATGATCCAATGGTGTGTTCACTCCAACCGAGTTGACTGGCCGTCCTCTGTCCCTGGTACCGGCATCTTAAGTGTGGGCATCAGGCTGTGACAGCTTGCGGCTTCACAGTCGGGTACCCACTGCACATGTGCGAGTAGCACTGCACATTGTGAATGATCCCGCAGTCTTTTTGGACCTGTCATGTGTCCCAGAGGACTGTGGGGAGGGAGGGGGGAGGAGAACTCCCATTTCTGGTCACACAGGCGGTTGGAGTGTAAGTGGGAGTGGGAACCTGTCAAAATTCCCCAAAGGTGCCAATTCTTCACGGGGAACGGGGGACCAGTCATTAAGGTGGAACATCCCCTTTTAGGTGGAGCTCCACTTTACAAAAAATCAAATGCAAAATAATGTCTATATTGTAAATTAGTGTAAGTTAAAGTATGTTCAATTTAAAAATTGTTCTTTAGAAACGATGCAATTAATTGATTCTTCATTCTCCAATTTGTCAGTCTATGGAAAAGCTGAAAGTGTACATGTGAAGAGAAAAAAAATCTGAACCTAAGCTTTGCCTGTGTATTCACTTTCCCTTAATTCCCTTAATTCCCTCATCACCATGTTCTCCTGCCAGGAGCGAAGAGGAATACACAGTTCTTCAGGGTATGGGCTACACTTATAGGTCTTGTTCCTCTACAACCCTGTGACAGAAACCATAGAGATACAAGAGAAAGCGCCAGATCAAATCTGGATAAAAGAGTCCTACATAATTTTAATTTTTGGTAATAAAGTCATATAACACCAGCCACAGTATTTCTGGGGCAACACCCCCCAGTATCAAACACTCCTCTGGTAGTAACAACTTGACAGCAATTGCTGAGCAGCAGTGGAGCTTCTATTTTTATATGGCTTTTTTTTACCAACAATTAAAATGATCTTAGACTCTTTTTATCAGGTTTTGTTCTGGTGATCCTTTTTATATGTCTATGGTTTGAGCTACTGTTGGGTACCCATCGAGGGAAGCCTTGTCTCTTGTGAGCAGCCTAGAGCTCTATGAATGTTTATGTCTTCTCACTACTTTATAGTCATCTCAAAGTCCCAGTGCCTCCTGGATGCTTTTTTTCTTCATTGGCGTTGCAAGAGCTATTGAGCTTGTTTGGAGTTTTTCTTCATGTGAATACACACGCACATTTAAGAGTTCCCAGCACCTCTTGTTCTGGAGTCCACCCTGTGAATTGACAGGGAAAGATGAAGTAATAGACTGAAGAGCTCATTTCTCTCTCACTGCTCTCAACTCCTATCAGCATGCTCCTTAGTAGCGTATGAACATCACAATCACCAAGTCAAATTCAAGAACATACATTACTTACATTAAAAAAAATATAAATATTTAATAATGTATTAGTGAATACAGAGCAGCAATAATTTGTATCTTTCATATCTGCCCAGGGTTCAGTTTTATGGATACATTCCAGAATGTATTGTTTTTATCTCTACTCTGTTACTATTTAAAAAAATTAATAAAGAATGAAAGATGCATTTTGCTGTATAGTCTTTCAAAATATTAATCATGTATCTGTTTATAAGCCAATATATTAAAATAATGTGATGTGATTTAGTGACAATTTGAGGATTGCATAAAAGGCCATGGCTATGGGTGTACTGTATGTGTTAGATGCTTATCACTTCACTAAATTCTTTCTATATGTATTACATCATGAATATTGACAGAAGAGGGTCACTGACCAAATTGTTAAAATAGTTGTTTCACATACCATTTCCTGTATGAAAGAATCTTTTTAAAGTAATCAATATATATGTCTCCGGTTCTACAAATTTTGAAAACTGAGAATAACATTGTTATTTTTACATTGGAAAAAAAATAACTTTATTGTAAAATGTTTATGGATTCATGAATAAATGAACTATAAATCAATCAGTGCAAACAAATCAAAAGATTCCAAACTCAATATCAAATTTCAAACGTGAGAAAATTGCAAACTAAACACCTAAAAAAATTATTTTTATTTTTACAAACACTTAACACTTAAATAAAGTACAGTGCAACCTTGAAATACAACTCAATATTAAAACAACAAAAGAATAATAAAATAAATAGTGCATAAATATAAAAGTCTAAAGTTATTAATCACATAATAA